ATAATTAATCTGTGTGTGATCATATGTTAACCGTCGGACCTTTTATCTGTGTGTGTGTGTGTTTATGCACCATTCATGTGTCAAGTGTGACCCCTCCTCTCATCCCTCTTTGTGCGTTTAAACCCTCGTTTTCCACAAGGCCCCCCCCCCCCTCGCTCCCTTCATTGCCTTCATTGCCCCATTTCTGCAGACAGACATTGATATGCACTGATTCATATGATGCATGTAGCCGCTCGGCAGTTCAGTACTTTGTTCAATCAATGTTGCATAGTGCTATGTTAACCTCTCTCTCTCTTTCTTTCCCTCTTTCTTTTTTCCCTCTTGCTTTATCAAATCTCTGCCAACCCTCTTTCCTATCTTCATCCCTTACTTTTCCACTCTACCTCCTCCTCTCTCTCTCTCTCTCCAGGTATTACTCTCCCACTCGTCCACCATGCCTGTCTGCGGCTGCCGCAGCCCCTCCCCGCCTCACGGCCATGCCGGGGCCTCCACCTCCATCCCCTCGGCCGCCCAGGAGCAAGAGATTCCGGTCCGACCCCTGCATCCTCCTCCGCCTCCGTCACTTCACCGCCGCACCAGCACCTCTCTCTACCTCTCCCTCCTCCTCCTGCTGCTCGGCCTTCTCCACCTGCCCCCGGCCTGCCACTCGCGGAGAGAGAAGGGCGGCGGTGGTGGTGGCGGCGGTGGTGGCCATTACATACCCATCCCCCAGCCCCCTCCGCACCACATGGCCCTGCCCAACATCCTCCGAGGCCTCAGCATCGCCGTGGTGCTGGTGGGCAACTCCAGCGAGGTGGCGCTGGCCGGGGCCCGGGAGAAGGACGACTTTCTCCACATGGCGCCCAACGTGGAGGTGCTGACCATGAATGAGACGGACCCTAAAAGCATCATCAAGAGCATCTGTGACCTAATGACCGAGCACTGGCTGCAGGGCGTGGTGTTCGGGGATGACACCGACCAAGAGGCCATCGCCCAGATCCTGGACTTCATTTCAGCCCAGACCCATATCCCCATCCTCGGAGTCCGCGGGGGCTCATCCATGATCATGGCTGCCAAGGTAGGAGAAGTCTTCATTCAGAGATGTGCACTGAACTTTCAAACAGGACGCGATATGTTAAAATAAAAGTTGGTCTCACTCAAACACACGTCACTCTCCATGAAACATTTAATTTGAGGAAACTTCAGCTCCATTTGAATGGTGTAGTCTCGTTATTGGAAGTTCAGCAGAGACACCAGACCTTCATATTCAGTCGCTGCTGCTGGCGTTTGATGAAATGCTGTTTGGTTCTAGCGAGGACAGTCTCACCATGACCTTAAATCTCTGCTGGATTCCATTTCGATTGGCTGCATTTTGCTGTCAATCATAGCTGTAGAGCTGTCACCGCTGTGAAATCCTGTCACGGATAGATTAGGCCTCTATTCACAGAGATTTTTTCAATCAACAAAAGATAGATGTAAAGACTCTGTATAGACCACTGCAGGGTTTGTTGTTTGATTGTGACTAATTCGTCACTTTAGTCCGATATTAGTGAAACGTAAGTGCTGGTTAGATTTAGCATCGCTCTCCCTCACACTGAAGGAAAACACTCGACAGTGTCACAGGCTGCGATACACTTGTGTGTACTTGAAGGTGAGAAAATGTTCTTGGAAGTGCCCCGCAACCTTCAACTACTCTCCACTGCATCGTCCTCTTGATATCAACTCTCTCTTCTCAACTCTTTCCCTGCATCGGTAGTAACTCAGGAGACAGACAGAGACAAAGAAGCTGCTTTCAGACGAACACCGGATAATCTCCTGACGTTCTCAGGATGAGCTGTATGTGAGTTTCTCCTGCCATCTAGTAAAAACCAACCAGAAAAAAACTAAAAGAATACAATTATCTCAGATTGAAACACACAAAGAAAATCTCATGATCCCCCACAGGTTAAAGACAAAGTTTGGGGGAAGTCCAGACCCATAAGTGCGGACATTTTGTGGAGTTCATGTCTGAAAATGACTACAGACACAGACAGACAGAGACAGACGGGTTGAGCTGAACTTGAAAGACAAACAGAGCTGACGCCAATAACAGGATAAGCTGGAGCTCGCACCAGAATAGAGAGCTGGATCTCTGACTGTTTCTTGCCTAATGAGATAAAGCAATCTGCTGCTGCTTTATCTGCGTCCGCCTGGGATCTGGGCTTGGACTCCTTTCCACAAAATCAGCTCATTCATTTCTCCATTCATCTAGCTGCATTAAATAATAACTGGTCGAGGACAAAGTCTCTTTAACGAAACCTGTGTCTGACAATAGTTTCCCGTGCTGTCCGGAGCCTGCTGCTCTGCTGTTTAGGCTTCAGGGCCTCGTTGTCTTTTGTCTTTTGTCAGCCGTCGCTGTCTCCGCGCCGCCGTCCTCCAGTTTGTCTGCTGACCCGCTGGTGCCAACAGGTCGTTGTACCAGCGGAGACATGAGTCGCACTGACACGGCGAGGCCAGCGGGCACCACAGAAGCTCCTCTCTGTGTTCTTTCTCATTAGAGCGCTAAGGAGAGAAATAGCAGGGAACCGAAGTCTTCTGTGCCACACACGCACACACACACGATGCTCACACACCCACACAGATCCATTTTCTTACATTTCTATTCTCTCTGCCCGACACGCTGACCACATCTGTCTTACCCCCCCCCCCCCCCCAAAACCCCACTAATGGCAGGTCCTAAAAACATATAAATCTCTGAAAGTACTTCAACTGAACCTCCTGACGCATGGGTGGCTACATTACCTGTGAGAATTTATGTTTGTGTTTTATTGCATGGGAGAACACAGGGATGTGAGAGGAAGAGGGAAGCAGTGGGGGGTAGTTGAGGAATTCATGCCACTGTGTATTTGTGTGCAGGGACGGTATCATTCATTAAGCACATGCAGCCTAAGTGCACCAGACAGCAGGAAAGAGCAGTGTTTTGTGGCAGAGGTTTAAATGGATTTCCCCGGCCACAAGCCAGAGTCTGCCTCCCCTGAGAGCTTCCTCCTGGCTGCACCGGGGCCCAGGAGAGCGAGGACGGAGCTGCACTGAGGCTCAGTCTCCAAACGGATTTGTGTCTGCTTAATGGGCTGAGACAATGGAGTGGAGAAAATACGATAGAGAGGGATCAGAGAGAGGGAGGGAGAGAAGGAGCGAGGGACCAGGGAGGGCGGAAAGTGGAGAAATTCGAGATAGTGACGATGAGATTGTGCGGAAGAAATTTTGCCTTGAGTGGAAGCGAGAAGTGTTTGAAGGGTTTTTGTCGGATTGGGAGGTGTTCGGAGAGAGAGAGCTGCCTGGAGAGGTGATGGACAGATGAGGGTGGAGGACGAGGGCTCAGCAGTAGCAGGAGAGGAGACAGAGTTTGACACTGCTCTGACTGGGAGGAGAAAAACATCTGAAAGCGAGTGGGAGATACAGAGAGAGATAAAGACGGAGCAGGAGGGAGAGTGAGACGGGGTTCGGACAGCAGCGATGGAGAAAAAGTGACGGAGGGTAATTGTGTAAGATGGAAAGAAAGGTTGAGGTAAAGAGGTAAAAATTGGGCTGTTGTATGTGTTTTCTCTTCCTCTGAGCGAGCGTCCATGGAAATGCACCGACAAAGACATGCAGTGAAATAGAGATCGCAATATGAGGCGTTTATCGTACGCCCTCAGTCTAACACACACAAAAGCATGCACCCGTCAAGACTGAAGGCCGACTGCTGCTATTACAGTTGGCAAGACGACCCCTCCTTTTTCATTACACTTCCAAGGAGGGATGAGAGCGGGGAGCGACACAGAAGGCAGAGAATACAGCAGTTTGATTTTTTAGTGTGGGCTGAATAAGCATTGTGGAGGAACGGTACAAGACAATTCCATAAAATGTTCCCTCTGGAGTGGACGAGCGTGGTGCCGTGTGAGGAGTCAGGTTGCATCTGAATCACAATAACTCCTTTCTTCTCACATATGCACGCACATGCAGTGTTACCGGGTATTAGTGTTGTAAAAACAAGCGTTATGTGCCGATGGCAGATCCACGCAGCCCAGCATCATCACCTCAGACTGTTGCACCATACCTGTCTCTGGATCAGCAGCACTGCTCCTGTCGCTTTCTGACGTCATCTTTCACCTTACGTGTTTTTTTGTGAGCTGCAGCGAAACAGCGAAATAAATAGTGCAGCGCTTTTGTTCACCACGCACCGGCGGTGGTTCTTCCTTGAGCCACATCCTCTCATCAAGTTTCGTGCTAAATGGTCCCATAGGTTTTGCGTAATCCTGCAAACTAACAGACAAACATAACAACGTTGGCGGAAGTAATTAGAGTTTCTTTAGACTGAATATCTTCAGCTTCATATATATTCCTACTTCTATTCAAGGAAATACAGTAGTCGGCTCACGTAGCAGACACGCCTCCTGTGTGAACGTCAGACGAGCAGATCAGTAACGCTGCTGTCACACACACACACACACACACACACACACACACACACACACCCCCGCTGTGGTCTGGACATTACTGGAGGGAAGTGGCTGTAGTTACTTCCAGTGCAGTGAAGAAGCGAACTTGCGTGTAAGCTTGAAATTCATCAGAATTAAATAGATGAAAGGGTGGAAGGAGGAAGTCGGGCAGCTCCAGAATCCACACGGACTGAAGAGGAGTGCAGAGGAGGAGGGAGGGAGGGAGAGAGATGGATGGAGGCGAAGGGTACTCGCATCTGTATCAATGAATAAGATCAGTGAGGGAGGGCTGGGCAGTAAGTAAGAGGACGAGAGCAATGAGTGCACGGCTGAGGAAGAGAGAGGGAGAGAGAGGCAGAGTGACACCGAGCGTGTGTTTGCAGCAGCAGGTACATCGTCATCTATCCAGTGCAGCTGACGTGGCATGAAGAGGAGAAGCTGCCTCCCTAGCTCAGGAAGTCACAGCCTCAATGGAGGAGAAGTGAAGGAGGAGAGAGAGATGGATAGAGCGCAGCTGTAGCCACATCTGTGAAAGACAGGACGTGATAAAGGAGGAGGAGTAGATGGAGAGGAGAGAGGGAAGGCATCCAGCAGCGCGTGTGTCTTCGTGCACGTGCGTCGATGTGAGTCGGTGTTACCTCGCCAACATGGCTGCAGTTGCCAGTCTTTAGTCAGTAGTGGTTTCCAGCACCTCCCTGCTAGTTGTCCCTCTGCAGTGTGTGTTGCACTGCAGCAATCAGTGGGATCTAAAGCTTTGGCTAATGCTCATATTATCAAGACATGGCGAGCACTTTTCCGCAGCTTGTCTAGAAGGTATGGCTTTGTAGTGGTACAAATAGCTGTGGTTGTCACCGATCACCCCAGGGCCGCTGCACAATGCGCACAGCGAGCTAATCTGCGAGAGGAAGCGGCTGCAGCTGGAGATGAGCAGAGAGATAGCAACCACTCGTTCGTAGGATTTGAATATAAGACTGTCAGCAATTAATGAATAAGGGAAAAGCAGGAATCCCAGGTGACCTGAGGGAAACTGTCACATGATACGAATAACATGCAGAGAAACAACTCCTGCCCACACGTGTTATGTTAAGTATATGAAACCACATTTATATTATAGTAGATCCAGAAACACGTCCCCCAAACACGCCTGGTGTTTTACATCCAGATCAAATCAATGAAAAGGATCCGCCCCCCTGATCTGGATCCTTCCGCATCGGTAAACTTTACAAAAACGTTTTCAATATATAGATTTATGTTTTACGTTACTTTATGTTATGGAGATGATTGCGCGCACGTGAAAACAGAATCTGTTCACTGACCTCTCATGTGTCACCGGCAGGAACAAAAAAAACAGCAGGATCCGATCAATTAACTTTTGGCCAAATAATTCCAGGTCGTTTGCCTGTGGGTGTTCAGTCTTTGTAAGAAAAGAGGGAGGGTGATGTGTGTGTGTGTGTGTGTGTGTGTGTGTGTGTGTGTGTGTGTGTGTG